TAGGACTATTTTGTGAATTTGTGATGAAAAGAGCGAACTGCTGGTGAAAAGGTTAATTCCCAGTGAAGGTGAACCTATAAACATAAATAAGTTATATCATTAATAATATGTGCTAGTTTTACCACTTTATTGTGAAAATGTTAGCAGTTATAGAATCCCAACATTCTCAACACCAGACTGTCTCGCCCAAATTTGTCTGCACTTTATTTTTTATATTCTTCAATATTTCTGGAAATGAATCCTAATTTTGGAGCCAACAGACAAAATTTTGGTAATTTTTGTCTCAATCCTCTGAAGGAAAGTGCAGACTATAAATGTAAAATTTTGTGAATTTGTGATGAAGAGAGGGAACTGGGGGTGAAAAGGTTAATTCCTTGTAGTCGAAGTATGCTGTGCTTCAAAACATTACATTAACAACAAAAATCGAAAATTTTGCTGGGATTTCTGTGCTTCCTTGTTACAATTATTGGATAAATTATATGAATTTGTACATTTATGAAATGTAAACATCTATTCATAATTTTACTATGAAAAAGTTGTATATTTTGCAGAATCGTGTGCTTTATATATACATGTAGCATGTCTGTATGATTATGTAATTGTGTCATTGCAATGGCTGCTGTAGGTAGCGGTGTTCTTATCTGTAGTTTATTTCCACGTACTATGTGAACAGGCAGGGTCAGCACCAGGCATGCAAAAGGGTGTGTGTTTCAAAAAAAAATTGTGCGTTATTGATTATTTTTGCCTTGCTGTAAATCTTTTACTTTAATGTAAATATGATGCGAGTACCAGACAAGCACCATCAGTTTAACTCCTTAGTAATATAGGATTTTTGAATTGCCAATTTGTTTGAATAAAACAAATAATTAGCTGTGAAAGTGATAGAATAAACAAAGAGAATTTGTTTGTGAAACATGAACTCCGCAAAAACAATAATTTTTCTTCTATACAACTGCTAACAAATTCAAATTAATGATATAAAACACTACACAAATCCTTTTTTTTTGTTAAAAGGTGGTGGTTGTAACCACCGCCGCGTGTTTGAAATTCATGTAAACAAACATTGTATAATATTATACATCCATTGAGTCCCATATCGAACACTGAGTGGCACAACGACCACTGCCCTTTAATGCATTGAGTCCCATATCGAACACTGCGTGGCACAACGACCACTGCCCTTTAATGCATTGAGTCCCATATCGAACACTGCGTGGCACAACGACCACTGCCCTTTAATGCATTGAGTCCCATACCGAACACTGCGTGGCACAACGACCACTGCCCTTTAATGCATTGAGTCCCATATCGAACACTGCGTGGCACAACGACCACTGCCCTTTAATGCATTGAGTCCCATATCGAACACTGCGTGGCACAACGACCACTGCCCTTTAATGCATTGAGTCCCATATCGAACACTGCGTGGCACAACGACCACTGCCCTTTAATGCATTGAGTCCCATATCGAACACTGCGTGGCACAACGACCACTGCCCTTTAATGCATTGATCAAGACGACATGGTCATCAGTGCCTGTATTCTTGTTTACTAGTAATTCAAAATTCTTTCAAAAGTTTTATGATTGAAAACTGTACTCTTGTTTCAATACCATATTTTTGAAATGTTTCAGAATTTGAGAAGTTCATAAATCTAGTGAAATCACATTTATTTCCAATACAAACAAAATATAGGTATAGTTGTATTCCTCTGCATAATCTGTCCATTAACTTGCAGTCAAGGATTGTTCTTGTATACTGCCCTCACACATGGTATTCTTTTCACAGCTATACAAGGTGCCATGCATCAACATTTTACTACGTTTGATTTTTGTATTTTTTACTTGCTGAAAATTACACAGTTACAGATTAGATTCATATCTATCTATTGTGTATGTACAACTGCTTTATTTCATTCACTGCCATGATGTGAATGGCCTTGTAATTCTAGTGAAAACACCAATATTTGTCTTTATTGCTATAATAGTTTTGACAATGTTAATTTGTAAGCTGTAACATTTATTTTTACCACAACAGTTGACTTCATTTTGCTGTTATGTAGAACCATCTACACTGCAAATATGCCATTTCATTTATTTCTCGCTTATTCATTAATTTTTGTTTATACTGCAAATTTATATTTAATGTTGTCTACTATGTAGACAGATGATTGATTTGTTTTGACATCCCTACTATATAGGTAATGCAATTTGTCTCAAAGTCATTACATTCTACAATATTTGTCATGACTTCATCTCTTTGACCATCATGGCATTTAATCCTATAGGGTAAGGTATTTGATCCTGTAGGTTGAGGCATTTGTTTCTATGGGCCCAAGCATTTGATCCTACAGGGTGAGGTACTTGACTCTGTAGGATGGGGTACTTGACTCTGTAGGATGGGGTACTTGACCATGTAGGGTGAGGTACTTGACCATGTAGGGTGAGGTACTTGACCATGTAGGGTGAGGTACTTGACCCTGTGAGGTGAGGTACTTGACCCTGTGAGGTGAGGTACTTGACCCTGTGAGGTGAGGTACTTGACCCTGTGAGGTGAGGTACTTGACCCTACAGGGTGGGGTACTTGACCCTACAGGGTGAGGTACTTGACCCTACAGGGTGAGGTACTTGACCCTACAGGGTGAGGTACTTGACCCTACAAGGTGAGGTACTTGACTATACAGGGTGAGATATTTGACCCTACAGGTTGTTGGGGTATTTGACCCTACAGGGTGAAGTACTTGACCCTACAGGGTGAAGTACTTGACCCTACAGGGTGAAGTACTTGACCCTACAGGGT